GCTGCCCGCGCTCAAGGTGCTCGTCAACCTCTCGCACAGCTTCGGCGGCTTCGGCGCCGCAGGTCAGTCACACAGCCTTGCAACCAACTCTTCTACCACCTTAAGTACTGTGAAACTCGGTGCTCGGACACGGTACTTGCTATATTGACTAAATGATGAACAAATAGTCAGCAACAACCTTGCCGCTATTGTTTTTTTTTATTTTTCGTATTGTAAATTAATTTTCTTACAAACAAAGTGAACAATTTTTTTTATATTACATTAATTAAATCTTCGCTATATTTAGCGAAACGGCAATAAATGAAGAAGAAAACTTTTTATATGTGAAATAAACCATCTAATTAATTAAAAAGGATTATTTATTCAGAGCACATTAGTCTAGCACTGATCCATAAAGCAAGAGAGGGAAGTTAAAGAAAGAGCGAGACATACATAAGTAGGAAACGGTCAGAAATGAGTTTGATAACTCACAGAACTGATGAAAGAAAGATGAAAAAAAAGGAATGAAGTATACTAGACTAATAAGTCCACTGCTACTTCATATTTTTTTATTTGCAGTACTCATGTTAGTATTAAATAAGTTTGTTATCGTTTTCCAGCATCGATAGGCGCTCAGGTGGTGGGCGAGCAGCCGCACGTCATGGAGACCTGCTTGATAATGTTGAACAACCAGGGCTGCTTCATACCTGACAACAATAACTTCGAGTTCAGTGTTTGTGTAAGTTTTACCATTTATTTGCCACTAGCTGTTGCCAGCGACTTTATACGTGAGGTATTAGAAAATGAGCTGTATAAAAAAAAAACAACGTATCCGTCAACCCACCAGAGTTGGTTGGAATATGCCAAATTTCAATAAGATATGTTAAAAAAATGCATTCGAAGAGAACCATAACTGTTTCCGAGATGAAAAGTAGCCTAAGTGTTCGTCCAGACTATGCTGTAAATCTATGTTTCATCCAGATCTGTTCAGACGTTTAGGCTACAAACTCTTACAACCATTCATTCATGTTAACTTTTGAATTTATAATATTAGTAATTTAATAATTGCCGACATTGGAAGAAATTCACTTATTCCTAGTATTTCCTAATTGTATTAAAAATTATTTTAAGTTTGGATTAAATATTTCTATTGAATAATTTTTTATTTGTGTTTACTACTGAGTGGTTTTTTTAACGAAAATGTTATTTTTTCCAGGTGCTGTTACTTTTGATAAATCTAGTTCAAAACAACGAGAGTAACACACAGAAACTGTTGGATGTCCACATAACGGTGGATGACGGCGACACTTCGATAGACACGCCCGCTTTGGATCTCATAGTTGATTTGTTTTATAAACGAGAAGAGCTCGCAAGGTAAACATTTATAACTAACTAGCTTTTGCCCGCGACTTTGCTCGCGTGGAATAAAGAAAACAAAAGTAAGTAGCCTATGTGTTCTTCCAGACTATTCACTGTTTAGGCTACAAACTCTAACGAACAGACATCCATCCATCTTAACTATCGCATTTATAATATTAGTACGATTATATTTGACTTTATTGTGAGAAATTGTATTTTTTTCCGTTGGGTTGACCGATACCAATCAATTTGCATGAATCTTTGCCCTTTTGGGCAAATGACTGTACATTCGGTCGATCCCATGAGATTTTCTTTTAAAATACCCATTTAAATTTGTTTAATAATTTTTAATTCCAGGCGGGCAGAAGAGAACACGGACGCGCTGCTAGACGGCGAGAAAGAAGAGACTGATGATGAGAAAGATAAGAAGAAGCAGTCGGTTGATGATATCGCTGAGACTGTTGATAAATGTGAGTACTTTTCTTGCATATTAGATGCTATGAAGGTTGTGAAGCATTTATTAAAAAACAAAGGGGTCAATGAGCATTATAGAATACAAGAGCAGCAGATACACCGTAACAACTAGCGGTCGACCGTTTATTTGTTAGTGCAAAATTAAAAATGGCCTATAATATTCTTGTATACATCATTTACTTTACTGAAATAGTCCTGTCAATATATGTAGATTTACAGCTTTATAAATAAACGCGGTTTAAAGTTAAATTTAGGAATAAACTTGGTATAAGCAAAATATTGTACTCATATTAGTACTTATACTCAGTTTATTCCTAAGTTTAACTTTATACCGCGTTTATTTCTAAGGCAGTTAGACTATCAGAGTTGTTTCGGAGATTATCCAAACATAGTTCGCAGATAGACTGACGGCAAAGAAAAAATTATATGTTTCATTTTTAATATTAAATACAGATATTTCAATTTTATTGTACTTATAGATATACTAGCTTTCGCCCGCGACACCGTACGCGTTGTATTAAAAAAAGAAACAAAAGAAGTCTATGTGTTCTTCCAGACCATCCTCTACATCTATACCAAATTTCATCTAAATTTGTTCAGCAGTTTAGTCAACAAAGTCTAACATCCATCTAAAGTTTCACATTTGTAATATTAGTATGATTTGTTAGATGTTATTTGAACTGATAATCTTGGAACTGATAGTTTTGAAAGACATTTGTTGTATATGACAAATATTGGATGAGAAAGTTAAGTTATAATGTGTGTGCGTGGCAGTGCTGGCGCGCGCGGGCGCGCACATGGAGCACACGATGGTGTGCGCGTACATCGCGCTGCTGCTGGGGCACGCGGCGCGCAGCGCGCGCGCGCCCGCCGCCGCCGTGCGGGCGCGCGTGCCGCGCTACCGCCCGCTGCTGCCCACGCTGCGCAAGTACTACAACTTCCTCTCGCTCACCGCCAGCGTACGTACCACCACAGATATATTGCCTAATATATTCAGCGATAACAGCTTTTTAATAGTAAAAAAAATATTGAATTCGTCCCAATAATTTTTAAGTTATTTCAATACATACAAAAATATTGATTTTTTCCTTTTTATGTATGTATTACTAGCTTTCGAACAAGAATCTGTTAATATGGAATTTTAAAAAAAAAAGCGAGTAACCAATATGGTTCTTCAAAATTATGCCAAATTTCATCGAAATCTGTTTAACAGTTTAGGCTACAAACTCTAAAAAACATTCATCCATCTAAATTTTCGTATTTATAATGTTAGATAGTAAAATAAATAGTAATTATTTGATGTTTATTAATGTTTTTTATGTAAATACTTCAACTGAAACTCGCAATCAATATTCGTTAATCAGACATAATATCAACATACTACTATTGTGTATATTTTTTCTAAATCTCATTTATTCGCCAAAACTATCGAAGATAAATTTTATAGATAGTGTAATTATAAATATCTTAGTGGCTCGGAACATCGCATGAGTCTAGCGCAAAGCAAAATGTTGGGTGGCGCGTAGCCCCCATTAAGTGATGAGGTGCCAAAAAATGAAACGCATTTTAAATTTATGAATTTTTCGATTTAATTTATTTTACAATCCGTTACACTGACTCTTATTCAAATAAATTACTATATTTTCCAGGCGGAAGCTTCGATCGTCGCTCACGTGAAAGCAACGCAGAAGATAATAGAGTTTATGGAGACGAGCGACAGGGAGAGCTCGTTGGAGCCGCCGGATCCACAACAACAGCAACAACAACAACAGCAGCAGCAACAACAACAACAACAACAACAACCACCAGCAGAGTACCGACCATACAACTACTATCAGCCATGTGCAGACATGCCTCAAGACATGTCCCTCAGCAACCTCAACTATACCATGAATTCCTCCTCCTCCGACAGGATGTCCTCCATGGAGGTCGATGGATACCATTAATACATGCTTGGTTAATTGTTTTGCGTATATTCAGGTTAATAGCACTATTTTAACAGATCAATAGCACTTTTAATTGTTTTTATTTTACAAGGTGACATTTGCGGAAATAGCGATATCTTCACAAAGATTCTGTCAATGTTTCAATATGGGAAAATGTTTCGAATATTAAACATAGTAATATTAAATTTTCTCTATTAAACAGAATAATTATGGTGTGTTGATTTTTTAATATACGGACACAAAACTGCTTTTTTTTAGTCAACAAATTACCAAGTAGATAGTTTAATTCAGCACTTGATTAGTAAAGGCACTAGACAAGAAAAAAAGATTTTTTTTACTTTGTGAACTGAGGTGAATGTAAATAGAAACCAAATAAAAAAAATGATGTACAGATAACAATTTTAGTTGTAATCGAATGCCATTTGTGACGTGAGCACGTTTTTGTATCTATTCCTTTGTAATGTAAATATTTTTGTTTAGAGTAATTTAGATAGAAGCGTTGATCGTGTGCGGGTTATGTTATGATCTTGATTAAATTGAGATATTCCGAGTTTAAGCCTGCAAATGGCGAATTGAAAGTGCAAAATGTAACATTAAGTGTAAATGGTAACATTTGTGATGTGAATATTGATCGCATCTTGTACTATATCTGCGGGGGATACTTTGAGGCACAATTATATAGCTTTTTCCCGTTGGCCCGATCGGCATCGGCCTTATTTTTCCCATTGTGCATATTGTATGGTTTTACTTCAATGGTAAAAATCACAATCAGACCATCGGATTCATTCGGCCCAATGGGAAAAATCTCAATGTGACGATCGGCCCAACGGGAAATATCTAAATTATATTGTAAATAAATTAGCGTTGATAGATTTTCCGTTGTAAAGGTTAGTTGGAGTTATTTTATGTAACGAAAATTTCTAGATCGAGTATGTTGTATCGGATTTGCCTTACGAAAGAGCGAAATATTTCGTGTTGAGTGTACAAATGTTTTTTAGAGACGCGAATATCGCTTAGATAAACAATTATAGGACAATCTATGTTGGAATTAACTATATATAACACCTTTTGTATTGTATGTAT